TCGTATTTGTATATTTTACCAAACCTACATTAAATCCGAATATACTATACCAAATATAGATTTAGTGCAATTATCGGCTATATAGGTGCATCATATCAATGAAATGTTAGAAATCTCATGGAAATGCCGATGTCGGCAGGTGCAGATTCAACAATACGACTCGGCTCGGCTGATTTATAGGATAACGGCCCCTTGATATTTTTATGTTTTTTCCTCCAACCAAAAAGGTGGACCGTTTCAAATCAATACATTATTTTAAATAGTAGATCCGATTTTATTCCATTTAAACTATGGAACTAAAATTAGCAAAAGATCGAAAAACAGAATGGTTACAAAATTTAAAAATATTTCAAATGGAATTCAATTTAAATCTGATAATACTCGGGACCAGGTATAACAGCAGTAAAAATAAAAGTAACAATCTCCTGCCACAAACAATTTTTCTCCAAAATGACTTCCGATTCACTAAATTTTGAGATTTGCATCTATGTGTGGGTTATCATTTGAGATAACTGGACACTGAGCACCTCTACTGAAGTGTGTGTAAATACTAATTGTATGTCATTTCATACATATGACTAAAATTAGTTTACAAATTAACACTTTTGTTACACGCTTATACAATACCAGTATACCAAACTCCATTTTCATGTAAAAGGTGATGGAACTATTTGCTTTTATTGTTATTATAATAATTTATTTAAATAATAGAGAAGACACAACACTTAATTAGGCAATGCATTTGCATTATGGGAACAAAACTGTGTTTTTTTCTTCATCTCCGTTTTCTTTTCTTTAAAATCTGAACCAATTCCATATAAATCTGTAACAATAAATTAGAGTTAAAAAAAGCTTCATAAATCCTATTGGGGTGGAGTAAATCAAAAACGCATTTGAGGGAAATACTCCAGATTTCCATAACAAAAATGTCTTTGTTGTTATTTGGTTTACCACACCACACCACTGTGTCAAAAACCAGCCAAGGTGTTGAAGATGGGTGTGTTATTAATTTTGGGTTTAAGGCCAACAAAAGCTGACATGCAACCTCTGTTCAAAATTCAACTGAAACGAAAATAAACCCAAGACTTCAACAGTGATGAAAAGACAACAAACCTTATAATAGTTTTGATATTTTATATTCGTGTTGTTGTTGGATAATTTTCTAAAGAGAAGATTATTCAAAAGATGTGGTTTGGGTTTGTAATGCAAATTTGAGTTATGTTTTTTTTTTCTCAAAAAAGAGGTTTAATTTTAATACTGAATTGCTTGCCTTTCTCTTGGGTTTTGTTTCTTGATTTTAAATCCACTGCATGCTACTACGGCCTATAAGGAAGAGTTCCAGTTGAATAAGCCGCATAGCCACCAAGCCTTTAAAAACAGGCAACAATAAAAGTGACGCATTTTTCATGTAAAGACTTATTACATGGCATGGAATTTATAATGTCTTAACAATGCCAAGCTGCAAAACAGTTCCAACAGCAGCAACAACAACAACGGCAAGGCATACGATACGATATAAAATGCCACAAAGAAATGCCTGACGATTTAGTCATCAAATTCAGAAAGCCAGCCAGCAGTCAGCAAGCATTAACAGAGACAGCAAATAAAGCTAAAATTAGCAAACGAAATGAACGTCATACATAGCTCTGGCTTCGAAATCTAGGAAATATTCACAATTCACAGCAATAAAATGAAATTGTTGTTCTTCTAAAAAAAAAAATCAGATTTGGTGATGATTTCAAACAAAGATAACTTGTATTTGGTTCTCAAACGAAACGCTTGTTTTTGTTTTTGCTGTCACTACTGATTTCTCACACACCAATCTAAATCTAGCTTCCAAAAAAGGTTTGGGTTTTTTTTGTGGTTTGGGAAAAAGAAGAAGATTAAATTATGAGCTAAAAATCTGCTGCCATACAACCTGACACAGTGACTGTAACCCCTGCTCTTCACATTGAATGTGCGACGTTAGTGTCTTGATTTTTTTACTACATAGAACAAGTTTGTTTTAATGCAAGTATTTACCAGTAGGTTAATTGTTTTTGTTATATTTTTGTTGTTTTTTAGTTTTATGAAGACAATGGCAAACTACTTTCGGTTGCTCCACAACTCCACAACACAGCAAGTTCACTGAATGATGATGATTTTCTGTAACGGGTTTCAATAAAAAGCGAAATTTAATTTCAATTTCAATTGTGTGTGATTTTGTTTTTGTATTTCTTTGTGTTTTTTTTTCTTTGCTTGTTTTGTTTTTGTTGTTATTTCATTTATATTTCACTACTACTGCAAATCAATCACATAGAAAACGTTAAACTTTTGATTCGGACACTTGGAAATTTGTTATGCAGATTAATGTGGATTCTCGTCGTGTTTGTTTGTTGGCAACAAAAACAACAACAACAACACATGTACATAATGGTAGCAATAGTAACAGCAGCGGTGTACTTATTAGTTGAATGTACATTTAATTATAAGCATTTTCAGTTAGCAGTTGGAGCTGGCAATATGACATGATGATGATGATTTGTAAACGTCATGGCCTGGCCTGCTTGCCTGCCAGTCTGATGGTGATGATGGTTACTGGTGCTGGTGTTAAACCAAATTATTATATGGATATTTTCTCACTATTTCATTCCAACGAGATGATTATACGCACTTTGACTTTGGACGTGTCTAAACAAACATAAACAACAACAACGAAAAACACACCACCAACAAATGAAAACACTCAAATCAAATGGAAATCTAACGAAACGTAACAACAATGAAATACGTCTTCCAGTGAAAACAAAAGACTTAAGACACGAACGCGCACAGCCGTTGGACACTAACACCGTACCGACGACAAGACACACCGCTGTTTTCTAAGCAACTGAATAGCATGCCAGGCTGCCAGCCCGCCAGTCAGCTACTCGAGCCACAGTTAGTGGTTTGAACAGTGGCAACAGTTACCTGAGAAAAGAGCCAAGAAAGAGCAAAAGCTCTCTTATGCTCTCTCAGGCCAAGCTTTTCTTTCTTTAAGTTGTCTTTTCAATTTCAATCTTTTTAAAGGCCATCATATATCTTCTCTCTACCCATCATCACCTGGTCTATTCATTTTCATTTGTTTGTTTTTGTTTTTTTTTTAATTTAAATAATGTTTCAAAATGTTTATTGTATTTATTCTTCAATAACGGTTTTTAAGATTTGATTATTATACTTTTTATTGGAATCTCGTTGGTATGATTAAATGTGGCCATTTGAAAGAACTTTCTCTTGAATTTATCATTTAGCTGCAAGGTATCTTAATTGTTTGTAACTGTTTTCATCGCATAGGAGGGTTTGAGTTTGGGTTCGTGTTTTTGTTTTTGTTTTTTTCATACGACAGCATACCGAAATGAATTCGAACTTGAAATTATAAATTCGCATATAATTAAAATTACGATGATGGCGATGTTTATATATGTATTTAAGTTTAATTGTTATTTAATGAGATATTTGTTGTTATTAAAAATATTTTTTAAGATGAAAAAAAAAGAAAATTCAAAATTCAAATGAAGGCAAAAGAGATGTAATGCTACGTTGGAAAGTTATAGAGGATGCGATGTGCATTAGCTATGACATAAAAGCATATATATATATATATATCTTGAGTTTTCAAAAAATGATTTCAAATCAGACTTGCAAGAAGTAAAGTCTAAGTGTAAAAATATTCGGTTCATATCAAACTTAAGTGTTAACATTATCGCGTTACCCTGTTGTAAACATAAGCCAAAGATTGATTTCGGAAATTTCGTTAAATTTGACGAAAACAGCTCCATCTGCTTGTTCGTTTTAGTATTAATAACATGGTTGGTGTATTGTCTGTACGTGACAGTAGACACAGGGTGAGTCACATTCCGTATATAAGATGATGTGTATGTTAAATGTTTCATTTCGTTTGAAAGAACTCAACATTTTCAGCGGAGGCCCTACAAAAATATATATTAGGTTGGTTTAAAAATCAATGTCGTATTTTTTGGCGGCACACTCCATTAATTTATTTCATTTAAAGATTGCCAAAGTCTGAGCGCAATTGGAAGATGTTACCACGCCCAGTGGCACGTGGTAACATCTTCCAATTGCCTAAAAGTTTTGAAAAAAAAAATGACGACTTCGGCAAGCAGACTTTGATTTTTTTAGCCATGTCTGTGTGTTGAAATTACAACAGAGTGCTCTATATTTAATATAGAGCTTTAAAATTCCGCACACACATTAATACCACTCCTAAAATCTTCGGTATTGGCATTACCCCCAATATAAAAAGTCCGTTCCATTTTAGGTATTTTGATTATTTAATGCGCATTTTCCAACTAAAGAGGCTGTTATTTTGGAATTCCACGGTTTTGGGGAGTGTAAATTTTATTCCCAGAATATAGATCCATGTTTTGACAAATTCCTACATAAAGATGCAGTTCCATTTTTTTGGTATTATATTGATTTTATATGCGGGCTCTTGCAGTCGTAAAATATAAGTCAATGTGTTGGACAAACCCTCATATAAAGCTGTAGTTCTATTTTTAGTTTTTCGAAAGTCCTAAACGAATTTTACAACCTTAATTTGGTATCTCTATGTTTTGAAAAATCCCCCATCTAGGGAGGACTGTGGAAGATAAAAAATAAATCGAGCCGATTGATTTTACTACATTTTAACTTATTAGGAGTCATATATATATATATATATATATATATATATGAACTGGTCTATTTTAATAAATATTTATATTTTTCATTTTAGGTAACGTATTACTCATATTTTAATTTTCGGTAAGTGAAGATAATTGTAATTATAATTTATTTCTCACACACATCTATTCTAAAAATACCACCAATAAGTTTGAAAAACAAAACTACATTTCTGGGTTTAATTTACTAAATTTTGGTTTTGTTTGTTTTGTTGTTTTTTTTTATTATTTATTTACTATAACATTTTTTATTATCTTTTTACATAAAATTAAGTTAAAATAGTTTTAATTGCATTTTACTTTTTTGTTTTTGTTTTGTTTTGTGTTTTTATTTTTAGTTTCATTTTATTATTTATTACCTAGAATTACTACTCGAATATTAATTGATTCAAAAAGTTGCCTAAGTTTCAAATATTACAAAATTGTTGTTATCATCTTTTTTGTTTGTTTGTTTCTTTGTTGATCTTTTGTGGTTTTTTGTTGTTTTTGTTGGGGTGGTGTTTTGTTTTTGTTTTTGGATTTTGTATTTGTTTTTGTTTACTGCTTAAGAGTAAATAGTTATCACTTCACGCCCACCTCCTCGCACCATTAGCACCTTTTCCAGTCCTTCTGTTAGAACTTCCATAAATTCCATATCTGTTTAGAGAGTAAATCAAAGAACAAAAGTAAAATAATCACAAACGAAGAGAGAGTTAAGGATGACACCATGTGTGGGGAAAAAATCGAAAATTTGCTAAATATTTGGAAAGAAATATAGACATTTTCGAAATTATAACGAAGGGTTGAGATTTAAAATATCGATTCTTTTTGAAAATCTTTTGTCTCTACCATTCGTTATAATATTTCGAATATTTTAATTTTTGTTTTGAAAAGGATGCAATTATTTTCACGAGCTGAATTAACTTCCTTGGGTGGACCAGGTAAATTCATAATAACCAATTGGGCATCTTGTGATTTATTTACAATAACTTCGTTAAGTTTAACAGCCGTATGCATCCGACGAACATTCATTTCATCGCTGGAAATAAAAATAAACGAAGATTAGATAGGTAATCATTTAAAAAGGAATTCCCTAAAAAACTTACGGTTTCTTTTCAACGTAGCTATCGTTGTTTGAATCTTCGTCGTCGTCATCATTTTGCCGATTATCACCATTCGCCTCGTAGGCTTTGCTGATGTTATTTTCATCGTCCTTAGATTCCTGTAACAAAAAAACAATACAAATAAACACAATCATTAGGAATGTGAGCATTTTTGTTTGGTTTTGAAATAACAACATTTAAATTGAATATAAATTTTGGAAAACTGACATTTTCGTGTTTTTCTTCTACTGTGGGATCAGCGAATCGCACTTTGGATGAGGTTTTCATACTTTCATGATGATGATCGATTATTGTTTGTACCTATAAAATTAAACAAAAATAGGAAATTATAAACAAATCATTTTTGTTTGTTGTTAAAGTGCACTTTTTTTTATAAAACATAACAAATAGAGAGAGATAGATAGAAACAGAGATAGACAGAGAGAGAAAAATTGAATAAAACTATAAACTAATTTCGAAAAATAATTAATTCAAAATTATAATAAACTATCAATCTCATCAACAAAGCTTTAAAGAAACAATTATCCATATCATTATCATAATTATTGTTTTTTTGTAAATTAAATGTGTGCATTAAATCATACATACATACAAGTACATAAATACATATTTTAACTTATAATTAATAAACATAATAATAACTAAAGGAAAATTTCGGTTTATTAAAAAATTAAAACAGATTTAGAGTCAAATTGAAAGAAATTAAACTAATCTCAAAATTAGTTAATTTTTCCGAATTTAATTAACATCCTCGATTTTAATAAATAATGTGAGTTTTTTATTATTTTTAATGTGTGTTTTTTCTCCTTCTTCAACTAGCATTAAATCTTAAACCACTTTAACTAAAATCGAATCTGTTAACTAAATTACAAAAAAAGAGAAATTATTTTATATTCAATTTAATTGTTTGAGGTCTTTTGTACACATCCCTAGTGGTTTCAGATTTTTTTGGGGACAATTAGTGCAGTATTATTGTTATAAGTAGTAAAATTACTTATCAGGCAAAGCCTCAAAATGCAAAGCGAATTTGTATTAAAATTAGATTATTTTTCCAAAATGCCATAAAAGCCATGAGGTGCAGTTTTGTTTGTTCATAATAACACTTAGGGGTGATTGGCAAAATCCGTAGTTTTCAAGAAAAAATAGACGCAGGCACGGTTGAACTGTTTGGTTTGTTGCTGTATACTAGCAACACCAACAAAGTCGTTGTGTGCATTTGTCGCGATGTGACAACACACAACAGTGGGAAAGGTGTGGTATTGTTTGTAAATGCCTTGTTAACCTCGAATAAACAAATTCTTGCAGTTTATGTCGTTGGTCAGCTAAGTACTTCGCTTTGTTACAAGAGACATTTGGGTATGAAAGGTTTTTTGTATAGAAGCAATAGCTTCTGGGGAGAATATCCCAACAAAAAACTAAGGGAACTTGAGGATCAGTGGCGTGATCCGAAACTATAGTCTTCCCTGCCTTAAAAAATATACATTCCCCAAAAATAAATAGTTGTTTTTTATAAAAACAACAAACTGGGATTCAGCCTGACTATTTTGCAAAAACAAAAAAAAAAAAAAAAAAGAAAAAATAAACATTTTTTTATATTATTTGCAACCCCGTTCCCTTGAAAAAAAAAATATAAATATATAAACCCTATCAAATTAAAAACAAATAAAAAAATTAAAAGCGTCCGAAATAAAAATCAAATAAATATAAATTTGTTTCATATGCCATTTCCTAATCTATGTCAGTGCAATAGAGTGTATCCACAGGATTAAATTTTAATTGTTTATTCTAAATACGCCCAAGCTTTGTTGTTATGGCTGTGCAGAACTACAGGGGAATTTAAACTTCGCAAAAACTCCTTTTGAAGAAATCAATAATTAAAAATTGTTGGCCTGAACTTTTTATAATGGGCTCAATCAAAATACTATTTTGTATACCCTTCATCACACTGTGCGCAATCAAAATACATAAAATCGTTCGGAAACTTTATATTAGATGTACATCACCACCACAGTAAATTATCTACATAGAGGATTTTTATCTCATTTATGTAGCTTTATGTAGTTGGAAAATTCGACTAGGATCTTAAAGCCCAAAATGACCTATATTGAAAATTTTTTGAAGAGTGTTTTTACCGACTAAGAACCAAATTATAGTAACTATCGAAACATAATCGGTACCATATAAAGAATGTCAAATTTCAGCCGAAATATGGTTGTTCTTGTAGCAGCCCTATTGCTTTACACGATGGGCTGAGATGGCAGACGTTGGCCGAAAATATGGTGGCAAAACATAGGCTGATCAATACGAAACTTCCCAGAAGTAGTACCAATTTATGAGAAATTTCAAAGCTCCATCTTAAATATGGAGATATCTATTCAATTTCTATTTCGAGGTGTTGCAAATTCAATGACAACGCCTAATGAAGAAAAGTATATAAAAAGGGAAATGGAATTGAACAAAGGGAAACATATATAATTCAGATCCCCATTCCGATGCTACCTCTACTTGCTTGTGGAATATGTTTTTCTATTATGCGGTCCTTACTTTAAAATCTAGCAAAATATGTATCTTCTCAAATTTGCTGTTAGGTGCGTATGGCAACTTCAGGCAGTTTGTCATTAAAGGGTTTACTTTCTTTCCGATTTCGTATTTTTTATGTAAATTTAAATTCTCCGAGATTTAAATTTTTCACGAGGTTTGATATTTTGAACAGCTGTTAAACACAAACTACATAATAAAACTCTCTCAAATCATTTCTTTTACAGAATTATATGCCTGTCCTTGTCAAACCAAATGTAAGTGCGTTATGTTTTACTAGTACCGGAATATATATTTTCCATTTTTAGGTTCATTCACAAAATTGAATATCAATTTTGGAGGTATTTTTCAAATTTTCTTTCCGAAGAATAATTTCTTTTCGTAGTTATTCTTTTCCATCTTTTAAAAGGCAGAATTGATAACTAATTAAATCTTAAATTTAATTCTTTTCAAACTAAATTCTAGGAATACCACTAACTAATCTATAACTAAATAGAAACACACTAACTAATAACGAATCCTGTAGATACACTCCGATTAGATGCAATAACACAACATACACAAACAGTGAATAAATATACGATTTAATAGATAGGTCCAGAGAGATAGATAGATATTTGGAGAGATAGAGACAGAAAGAGAGTATCAACATTGAACAATTTTAAATGTGGATGAGATATAGAATCCCGACAGAAGCTCTGTGAAATGTGATACATGGATGGACGAACGAACGAACAACGACGACGACAATGTGGTAATGAATGAACAACGACGAGAATGATAACCACTTTCAATGACATGAAATCAGTGGAATGATGGTTGTAGTGGTGGTGGGTGGTGGTCGTAGTGACATGGATATGCAAAATGGATTCCTTTAAAGGAAATGGTGACGACGATGATGATGATGATGAATGTTTGTATGCGAAACGATAAATGGAGGAGACAATGATAAAAGCACGTTTGTCATATAACCACATAAATAATGGTTCTGCTCAACAAACAACCAAAAAGAGATTTATGAATGATGAAAAATAGAGAGAAAACCAGAGAAACAAAAAAATGAACTTAATGAAGACGAAGACGGCGAATGTAGGTGTGTTTGTTAACATTAATGGATTGTTTATACAAAATGATGTTGGAAGAAAAATGTTTAATTGATGGATGGATGACGAAGAGCCTGAATATTTGTTAGTTGCAATGAAATGCTCGGCTAAACAATCAAACAAACCAAACAAAAAAACACGATTTTTCTCTCTTTGAACATTTAGTGATGATGGTGTTGGTAGTAGTAACGAAAAGTGGTAGTAGTAGTAGAAACAGAATTATATTGTTTTTGTTTTGTTACCAAAGGTATTTTATCCTCCCCAGTTGTTGGTTTCTGGTCCATTTGCAATATTTTTTGTCGTTAAGGTTTTTTGTTTTTTTTTTTATATTTTTGGTTTTTGTAGTAGTTGTAGAAACACACATATATAGATGGTTAGATTAATACAAACAAATAAATTTCAGATATCGTATATGTATATATAGAAAAAGGGAGATACAAGAACAATAGTATTGTTTTTTTTTTTTTGTGTCAAATGCTTATATGTGTGTGTGTAGGTGGGTGTCTGAGAGTGGGTGTGTGTTTCAAAACAAAAAACTAAACAAAAACCAAACAAAAAATAGGAATATAACAATATGACTCGAATATTTTGATCCAATGAATTACGACAAAAATAAATATTTGAATAATGAATAAAATACTAAAACCAATAACATAAAAATGTAATAAAATTAATTATCAAATGGAATGGTGGAATGCATGGGGGGAATGATCAGGGTGTCGCGTAACGGTAGACAAGTAAAGTCTTTGGACACATTTTCAGACAACATTTAACGACATTGAATTCACCCAAAAAAATATCCCAATCTTATGCGAGCATATCTTATTTAGTATAATTAATTATATAGATAAGATTTCCTTGTTATACATATATACTAGGTACACTTTTAATATATATAATGTAGCCTTAGAGGTATATAATTTTCTTCGATTTGTTTTAATGGGGCCTACAAAGACTTTACTTTCAAACATTTGTCAATTTTCTTTTAATAGCAAACGAAAAATACGATTTCGATTTCTTGGGCAATACATACAACTTTGGTTTTCTCTGTGCGATTCAATCGTAATTCACGTAACATTTGATTCCTTTGCTCCATCATTAAGGTACGCTCATATGTGTAAGCCGATATATCACTATTCATCTGAAATATAACAAAATGACAAGTTATTAGAAAAAAATCAAAGAGGAATCGAATTAAGATATTATTTTTTAATTACAAGATTTCCATATACTAGGGCTCCCATTAATATTCATCACTTTTTTTAACATTTTGGGAATCGAGAAATACGAATTTAAATTCATTCACAAGTTCACATTACCCAATTTCCAAAATTATTCAAAAAATTATGAATATTAATTCGTTCGTAATATATTAATATTAATTGTTTCGTAATAATTTAATTTCATATCTCTATTTCTCATTTACTCACCATTTCGACAACTTCAACTTCTGCCTCAATTCGCAAATGATAAAGGAACGTTTTCAAATCTTTCTTCATTTGTATGGAATTGTCCTCCATTTGGGCGACAGTGAAGATGCGCAATTTACAATTTCTCCAAGTACGGTGTTGTTTCAATAAGAAAGGCAATAACATTAAAAGGCCACCATCGTGAACAATCCACCAAATATCGATGTTGCCTCCAATCTATTGAGGGGCGAGAAAAAGAGAGAAACAACAAATATAATCCTCCATATCCAAAATTTAGCGAAATATTTCTCTCAGCTTACCTTATGATTTGATTCTGGGAAAAAGTTAATACCTTTGGGTACCAACAAGGCCATGTGACAGGCAGCGACAGTGCGTACAGTTTGTATGAATATCTTCCAGCTTTGTACGCCATCCTTGCGCCAGCTATAGGGCCATCCAACAATTACTGTGTTGGGTTTCATGCCACCCAAGCCAATTGTTTGAACACTAAAACAGTCCAAGTTAATTTTTTTTATAGAACAATTCCATTGCCTCAGAAGGAGCTACTACTTACACTGAACTAATGCCTTCACCAATTTCCTTGGCCACCAAAACATCGCAAAAACCTTTAACTTTTTCATCGTCCATTAGCTTGCGCAAAGCCTGTTTAGCCTCCACGGCCCGTGAGCCAATCTTCGAGTGATCACCCTGTATAACCGAGACACAAATGGTCAGACCCTTGCCCGCCTTCAGCTGGGTGGCAAAGGCAAACATTTTACGATATTTTGGCATGAAATTGTCATTGAGCTTGGAGAGCACCAAAATCTGTGGACGCCAATTTTTGGTGTGCTGGGGACCTTCGTCCAAGCGTAACAAAGAATATCTAGCAGCAGTGAGAGCCATACCGCGGATGCCATCACCCCATTCCTTTTCGGCTCTTAAGGAAAAAAGGAAATTCATTAGGAGGGCTGATTGATAAGAAGGCAGGTGATGTCTTGAACTTACCCTCGGTATTCAATGTATTTATAAATCACAACGGCCATTCCCATGGCAATTAAGGCAAAGTACCAGGATGTCATGAACATAACAGAGATACACAATGTAAGGCCAATAAGTGAGAGAGACCAGTGATAGAACTTGAAGCGGGGTCTCCAATTTGGTGTACGCAACAGGGTTTGCACGGCACAGGCCAAGTTAACAAAGCCATAGCACATGAGGAAAAACATGGACAACAAAGGCGCCAACAAGTCCACGTTACCTGAGGAGTGCAGAGAGAGAGAGAGAGGGAGTAAATATTTAATGTTTTCTTCTTAGTGAATCCATTTTGAAATCCTTACCCAACAAAATACCGCACTGGCAGATGCACAATGTCAACAACAAGGCCCGTGTGGGTTCACCGCGTTTGGACGATTTGGCAAATGGTGCCAAGAATGGTATAATCTCATCGCGGGCAATGGCCTGCAGCAGACGTGGTGCACCCGTTAAACTCTGTAGACCAGCTCCCAGGGTGGATAAGAATGAACCGATCAAGATGACCCATTGATTTGGCCAAGCAATGTTGGCTACAACCAATTTACCGCCAATAGATTGGCCGAATCTGAAAGGTAGAAGGAAAATTAGATTCAAATGGTAATTATGCAAGTCAAATGAGGGAGCAATTCCTTGGCGAAATTTAAAATTGTCGAAGTAAAGAGGAATGACATATTTTGATAAATTGTATTTCCACAACACATTCGACACTTTCGCTAAGCTGATGAATTCAGTGCGTGATATCATTTTATGGCATTTCATGATCCCCATACCCAACTGGGAGTCCCCTTATTTTGCATATAACATACGATATTTCACTTTTTATTGTTGTACTAATTTATTTATTGGCCATATATATATATACTTACTTGTCTCTTAGCAATAGATTGTCCACGGTACCGGCAAATAACAAAACGCACGACAAATAAACTGAACTGGTGGTTAGAATGGCGCAAATTGTACCAATTGGTATACTCTTTTGGGCATCGGCCAAGTCACCTGATCTATTAGAGCCGGCCATAATACCTATTAATTAGTTTGGGGAGGGTAAAAAAAAACAGAATAATTATTATAGCTAAAATATATGTAAATATTTAAATGGCACCACCCCATAACATGATTTGAAACACAATTTTTGTTTGGCTTTTGTATTAAATTAGCGGTTTTAGCCACCACCGGACTGCTGACCATAACTAATTGCCATAAAAACTATAGAAGTGACTCCCGCACAAGCAACAAACAAAATTTTATTTAATTAGACCATTAGACATTTGGACCAACCTGTTACTGAGGGGAAAAAGATGCCGATGAGAAGGGTGAATGATGTGGTAATATCAGCCATAACTTGATTGTAGGTCGATGGAGCCATATTGTCAATGTCTGTTGCATTTTTGCCATAGGCAATGAATTGTCCGAGCTGAAGGAAAAAGAGGGAGGGCAAGGAAATTAGTTACACATTTGAATAAATTACACCTCGAAACACTTACTTCCAAAAATGAGGGCATTATATTGTCATAGAATACACCGCTGGACAAACCTTTAATACCTTTAACCTTGGTTACATTGTGGGCTACACGAAAAAAAATAAATTATGGAAGGAAAGAGGGTTATTTATGCATAAAGATATTGTAATAAATGTAGATCTCTTTTGTTCTTATTTACAACTTACTCATATAGTATTCATCACATTTTCCATCTGGACAGAATAAATCGGAGAGCACGGTATCTTCTTTGGTACAATTGTCGATGTGTATATCTTTGAGTAAACGATTTCCAAGCACGCACATGCTGTACAAAACAAATTTTCAATATTTCATGTTCAATTTTCAGTTTAAATCAAATTGTTGGTGTTTTTCATTTATTTTTCAAAAGAAATTTTATATAAACATTTATTACAGATCCTTAGAAGTCGAAATATTTAATTTAAGATATTATTTTTGTTTACATTAATTTACCAAGTGTTTGGGCGCCATTTCAAACACAAGTTCTTTCATTAGTAGGAGATTGTCCGTAACAAAAAAAAAAAAAAAAAACTACGAAAATTACTTAGGACATGTGAAATGGTTGGAATTGGGACACCGACTATATTAAAATAACAAAATATGTTTTGCTTTATTAAAATTGAAGAGATTATTTTAGTGTTTTACTATGAAACTTATAAGGAAATTAATGTAATTCTCATGTAAGCTCGGCTCGAGTGAAAATCAAAAAAATTAAAAGCATTTTCAGTATATTCTAGGTGGGATTAATTCATCCATTAACTATACAGGTAATTTAATGCTTAGTATTCGGTTATTATGCTTAAATAAAATCGATGTAAATATAGATTTTCCGATCTTTACCTCTGAAAAAATTATCAAAGGTCTATAAAAAATCTATAAAATTTGCAAAATTAGTTAAAAATCTATTTCTGTTAATAAAAGGATCAATTTTGTCCACAGATAATCGACAATTATAGAAAATCTCATTGTTATTATTTGTTTCAAGACGGTGTCCATTTTCGAAATAGGAAAGTTCTCGACAGTTTTCTTAAATATATTGTTGAATGTCTGTAATTTAATGTTTATATAAATTATATCAATTTATTTTTGTAATTTTGTTAATATTAGAATATTATTGTTCCATAGTCACAGAGATAGTTTTGTTGTTGATGTTGTTTTTATGTTTTGTGAGTAAACGAAGCGAACTCCTTTGTACCTGTTGAAAAATATTGTCCTAACATTGTCCTATAATAAATTGAAATATGGGAGTAATGAAAAAACTTGGATACTTTATTAAAAAGGCTTTAAAGCATGCAAAATTAGCTTCCGAATCTCGAAAAAAAATCAATAAATATTTTATTAAGAATCTTTTTGGCATATGGATTGGCATGTTCAAATTGAAAAAGTTGTTATTATTTTTAATTTTTATCTCTCTCTTAAATTAGCATAAGGAATTGAATTTTGTTGACTGATTTCTAGTTATAAGCAAATGAAATGGATTTGTTTTTATTTTATGAAAAATTGTCGAATTTATTGGAAAATACGTGCATAATTTCAAACTGTGTATATTGAATCGAATTTTTTTTTCATACTTCCTAGTCCACTGTTGTTTCCATGAACTAATAAAGTATGCAAATACTTACTCTTTGTTCGAAAACTTTTCATTCTATGGTATAATTTATTCCTGGTCTCTAAGAAATGCCACTAAACTGAGCGTAAGGTGCTGCCGATGTTGGCAGAATTTTGGATCAGACAAAAAATGTATTTTTTTGTTTGTTTTATACACCCATTTCTTGTTTATCAATGAGATGAGCATTAAATTTCAATATGTTCTATCACCCATACTTTTCTAGTCATTGAATATTTTGGATTTTTTACCAACATTTTAGATATTTCAAATAATTTTCAATGAAAAATATTATATTTTACTGAAGTACTAAAGTACATTTATTACATTACATTACAGTACATTTATTGCAAGTTTGATTCCTTTACATTTTAAAACATCCTTTTGGTACAACAAAACATTTCAAAATTCCCTACATTCCCAATACCAGCAAGCCGTCCTATTCAATGACCAAAAAATGTAAAGATGGCTACTAATTGTTGCTCAAAGCTAGCCAATTTTTATTGTTGTTACCTTCATGGCGATTACGGTACAAAGGTTATAATTTCGGATTAAGTTCAAGGGTGTAAGGCGTTCTTTTTTGTCCGTCATACGTCCAATAGTCCAATAATGTGTGTAATATTTTCGTTTATGTAGTTGTATTTGTTTTTTTCGCTCAAAGTGATTGGATATTGAAAAGCGTGTCCTGTGTATTGAAAGAGTATTGATGAGTGTATTCGTATTTGTCTTTATGTATGCATGGAAAGTGTAGTGTGTGTGTGAGCTTGGCAAGTACATGTGTGTGTGTCAGAAATACATTTTGTATCTGCTCTTTTTTCTTGTTGTTGTTGCTATTGTTGTTAGTGTTATTTTCTTGGCGATTGACGATTGATACTTACTAAAGTTTTTCATTGCCATTTATGTTGTCGAAAATACCGACATAAACGGCGATTATTGAAAATATAACACAGGCCAAGGCCACGGCAGCGAATTTATTAACAAATCTTACACCCAGGAAGACAATTAAACCTATAGGAAGTAGGATGATCCCATTGTAAAATTGGATGAATGGATTCAAATTTATACAAAAATATAGTATTAGATATTTAAATAAAAGCAAATTGTAGAACAATGTAGGCAAGAAATTGGAGTTTATTTTTTAATTTACCCATGAAACAGAGCAGCCCCGTGCCGTACACCCTAAAATTGTTGTACATGGCATCGGCATCCTTAGTGAAATCACCAAATATTGAGGCCCACGGTGCCATGTAAGTCTAATAAAAGAATATTGAAATAATTATTAGCATACATTTGTATGGGAACTTTGAGACATAGCGGAAATCGTAGAATAAATTCACTTACCAGGACAATTTCAACCGCACCCACAATGTACATGGCTGCCGCTAAAGTTGTACCCGTATAAAACAGCATTCCCACAGCGCCACCAAATTCAGGACCAAGGGATCTGAAAATTATATAAAAATACGTATGTATAATCAAAGTAAAACAAACTATAATTCTTTCAAGCGCCCCTAGAATAATCAGTCAAATTTCGTAATTTTTGCCATAAAATCATGGAAGAATACGAATATTTTTCTCAATGAATATTTATTCAAAGAAAAATATACATATTTATAAGAGACTATATCTAAGGTGTATTGAGAAGGTGTATTATAGGAAGGCCATGAAGGGTAAAGACAATATAAAGTTTAATTTTTCACTGACACAATTCTAGTATATCCATTTCCATTTGGAAAAGTTAGAGGCCATCATATAAAAACTTAGAATCAACACTTAAATACGTGAACTTTTCAGAAATTTCAATACAAGTTTGAATATAAGTCAAGTAGTTCGCTAGACCGTATTCGAAGCTTGACAAATACTAAGTTTTTATATAATTTCCATTCGTATAGTTACAAACACTCCGAGGGGATCGACCTATTGATCTATGAAAATATCATGACTAAGATCCATTAGCCTTACAATATACCCAAAATAAGGCCCAGCTAATGAGCCACTGACAAATATTCTTCCAAGTCGCTGCTGAATCGCTTGAAGTTGGGTTATTCCAACAGAATTTTACATTAAGGCGCACTTATTGTGCTTTCCACCTCGACTAAAATCGACTGGGATTCTTATATGGTGGCTATTCCATAACGAAGTACCAATAAAAGTTGAAAAATTCGGAATGTTCAACATAAGGAAATGGAGACGGGACTTTATTTGAGTGTTTCTATCAAAATACAATACAATACACAAAATAGTTTGGAACTTTTATATTGGATCTGTATCCAAACGTGGTCTTATTATTATCTTATTATTTTTGCATATATCTTTATAACCCTCAAAAAACTCGAAAACACAATCTACAATTTCGTTCGTAACCGAACAAAATTTACAACTAGGAGTGTTAATTTTTGATTATCTGATGTATTGATTTTGAGCGACATTTTTCAAGGAACTATTTAAAGCTACTACATAGGCGGGTGACTGATGCTATAGGTAAAAAATATGTATATTTGAATATATTTATTTTACAGGTCATTTATAATAAGCTATGCCATTATTTCTTCCACATCCCGGTCATAAAATGACTATTACTTTCGGAACCTATTCGATACACATAATTAACACCCAAATACCCTAAGTCAAATTTGGAAAATCAATTAATAACTATGTATTGCCATTAGAAAGATGTGGCCACCATTGATTACAACCTTGTATATTGAAGTACTTTTAATGGCAACATAATTAGGCATGTTCAATGGAAAACTAAAACAACAAAAAATAGTTAATATTAGTGGGTATGTTTTCCATTACACCCGCGCGGACACACACACACAGGTCCCATTAAATACATACAAATCTACTTACCTTGATATCATGAAATAACTGCCTCCCGCCGGCACCACTCCATTTGTTGCAATAGCCGACATTGAAATCGCCGTTAACATAGTCTAGATTTACAACAACAAAAACAAAACAAAAAACGAGAAAAATAAAAAACAATGGCAAATTATTATTTACTTTAATTACACACATAATCCGAACGAGCGAACAACAAAAGCCTCTTAAGCTATTGAGGGTGGTAATTATGTTTGTAGAGAAGGAGGCGACAAAGAGGTGAAGGGATGTACTCATATTGTGTTTTTTATTATTCTACTTACCACACAACAACAAGTCAGGACAATCAGAAAGCCACATACCGCACCAGCCGTTCCAACAACCCATGTTAAACGAATGAACAGAATGACACCGAAAATATTTTGAATACATGGCAAGAAGACACCGATGAGGGTTCCTGGAAGAGAGGTGATTGATTGAACATTATATTAAAGCAATGAGATTACCTTGAATGGGGAGGGAAATTCATAGATATGGCAAGTCAACCATAAACAAAAACAAAGACTGACTCATAGTTCAAAATATAGACTCATTTTAATAAAATTCTATGCTAAGGAGATACTCTTGAAATATTAATAAAAGGTAAAATGCATACATTTTACAAAATTAAATATGTGTATATACCCACTCAGCATGAATTGCATTTATAAGAAAATGTTTGTTGTTTTTTTTTTTTAATATTCATCTTTCCATTAAATATATCCTGCAAAATGGGTTTCCAACTAAAAGCTGTGGTTTAGGAAATTCATCAGGATTTTGTTTTTCAATTTCTGTCCGTGACATCTGCATCATCATCATCAAAAAATGTCTAACAAATTTTCAGAACTGCGTTGTTTTTTTTTTTGTCAGATTTCTTCTCGCAAGAGACGAGAAAATTGTCGTCCGTTTGTTTTTTTTTTTTTCATAACGAAAAGTCATAAATTTTGCCATTGACGACATTTGATTTATGGATCTCTGTGTAATTTCGCCCGAACAACTGTTATTGACGTTCTGCTAAATTGCCTTCCATTAACTTGACTTCCAAAATTAGCTGAGAAATGGTGAATGGACTTTTGATAAAGAATTAATAGCGTCTTTGTGCATTCACTTTGGCATTTCGCACGAAATGTTTTCGTTTCGTATACTTTACTAAGTATGTAGGTTCTGAGTATGTATTTATGTATGTATCGCAACCAAATGTAATTGAGAATTGTTAGCTTGTAATGATTAATCTATTGGTATTGACAGGTAAATCAATATTTAATGTGACAAATATTAAAACCTTTCTATTTTTTACAGAACCTATAATTCTGTAAAATTTGTTAATAAAGTTTTGTCCACTTTAATGATTGGTTTCCATTTCTTTGATCCGCATGACAATAATGATGGTTTAGTTTTTTAAATATATTTTATTGTCATAATATCAGGGGGCAGGGTTACAATCGCTCAAAAAACTTTGTGTCGATAATAGCAAAGAAATGTAAAATGATGCTTCGAAAGATGTTCATAAAATAGGCGCAGGTTAAGATTAATGGATAACGAAACAAAACTCAAAATCACGTTTAGAGGTAAACTTATATCTTGATCTGTACCTCGTACAGTCGTGTCTACATATAGTGAACACGATTTTTATACACATTAATCTCGAATAAGAGGTTCTAAAGTCAATTTTGGAGCCAATGAAGCAATTCACGAATTATTATAATTATTTATTAAATTATATCGAAAGGGTAAAATATACTCTTAATCACTGTAGACTTAGCAGTCAAATTAGTCTATCTTATAGTTGATATTGACCTCGTCCGTTCAACTAAATCTTGATAATTTTTTTTATAAAAAAAACAAACCATATCTAGTGACCGTCTCGCATTGCTATTCTGTATAAAATAATAACGATTAGCGTCTCCGCATATTTATCACCCTCCACTTTTATATCACGTTACTTAATCTCATGTGATAATTTGCATCGATCCACCTCACGTGAGTTATTGACGTATCGCATGAATCGATAAAATTTCCATCGCCATAAAATTAATTAATTTACCAACATTTATTACCAATTTTTAACATAATTTTCATAATACAGAATTAAAAATTATCTCCCTCAAAAAACAACATCATATAAACAGTCATAAATATATTACCGTGATATAAAACAAGTAGAGAATTGACAGAAATGCTCTATATTTAGAAATAACTTCCACCCACGAAATGTAGACAAAGATTCCAATTCCAAGTTAAAGCCATAAACATTATTTAGCAACTTTAATAAGTTCGAATACAATCGAAAGTCACGTTTATTTTTATGACATTATCTTGGGGTACGCTAAGCATCAGCATCCTCATGCACCACACATGATGTTGTGGGTGTAGCTGTTAGATGCTAAGATGCTACTGCTGCTCTGTACAGGTCATATGAAAGTCGTTGTTTTCTAATTTTCGTATTTCTTCCTCTTCTGCTTGCTGTTTTTATTATTACCAAATCGTTTGGCCTGTCATAAAATAATAAATACGAGTATTTTATTTTTTGTTTGGAAAAATTGAACTTTATCACATGCTGACTTCAATTTGTCGGTTGGATGACTTCTACATCTTCTTCTTGTTCTTTCCTTTTTGGTATCACATGATAATATCTCTAATTTTTTGGCTACTTACCCATACGCGCTGAAGGCGCCGGTGCCTTAGCATCTGGATCGGTGGCAGCAGGTATGGTATTCTCATAATTGGCAAGTGAAGATATAAACGTCGATATATGCGGCCTCGTTTCCAAGTCATCATCGTATAAATATAAGTTGGGTTCTTTATTTGGTTTTTCGTTGTTTTCTTCTACGGTTTCAACATCACATTTTTCTGCAAGAAAAACAAAAAAGGAAGCAAAGATTTTTCTTTCATTACTCGAAGGTGGAAATTGTTATGGGCATAATAAAAATAAAATAGAATTGTAAATAAAATGTTCTGATATTGTCAATTATTCTTAATCCGATTAATATCAGACTCGTATATCTTTAAAAGGAAAAAATGTGTGTCGCTGATGTTGTTGTTTATATGCAGTATATGAAAGAAGTATTTGACAGTTACAAATTCATATAAAATAGTCTATTATTGGAAGAAGCTTTTGAATACGAAATTTATGGAGAATGAGGATATGTATGATGTTATCACCAATAGAAAACCGTGAAATATTTTATAAACGAGATTTAAATAATGTCTTTATAATATTTGGTATTCCCTATAGATATAAAACAGAATCGGTTAATTGACATTTATATCTAAACATAAATCAAATGACAAGCTATACATATTTTTAAAATCGTCAGATTCCAATTTTCCAAAAGCTTTCTTTTTCAACATGATTATCATATTTGATCGAATTTACAATATTTTTTAATATTCCGCAACTCTTCCAGTACCATAGAACATTAATGCCGCGTGTGATTTGCTTCAACATACACGAATCGTGGATCTATGCATATGATCCCGAAACTAAACATCAATTGACCTTGTGGGTCTTTGAATACGAGACAAATGTAACAAAAGTTCATTAAAGAAGAATTTCGAAGCCAATGGTCGTATATCTCTTTGTCAATCTCTCTTGGCAAAACAGGTAATGTGCGACTGTTCCGCTTGAGCAACGTAGGACGGTCAATACTGATGCTTGGAGGTGTCAATCAATTGGAATGAAAAAAATGCTTCGGTAATGGGTTTAAGCGCATGAAAAAGTATGTAAATTAAGCTACAGAATACTTTGGAAAACGATAAAACCATTTTGAATGAAAAATTAGCATCCTAAGAATTAGAATTATATCCAAATATTTCGGACCTTGTTAAAAGCAGGGAAATTTGAAGTGGCAATCTGTAATTGTAATGTATTCATGTTTTTCATTTCTAGATTAAAAACCTTAAGTATTTTTTGATCCAAAACCCCTTATGCATTTTTAGAACTAACTGACATTTCAAGGGTGGCAATATTATGCCTAACAGATAATACGATAGTGCTGATGTTGGAAACTTAAATTTAGCTAATTTTCCTACATTTTTGTAAACTTCTCGAAGTCCGCCATTGACATTATTTTGAATGCTTTTCTGCATTCGAATTTCATCTAAGACCTCACACGTCCATAATTTGCACCAGCAACCATCCAAACATATATACACGCAGCTGTGTTTTTCTGTTTCATCCTTCTTAACGGGACATTATAACGGACGATGTGTCGCGTTAATAAGAAACCTAAAATGCGACTAGGTGGCGATGGTGGCTGCTCTCATTCCATTTTGTTATTGTGTACAAAACAGATCAAAAAATATGTCGTGCTATTTTCACATATTCTCGTACAACGACTATGACATACAATAATAATCACGACGACTAACAATAGTCGAAAGGACGAATGAACGAACAAACAGGCGACATATTCATGTATCCATGTCCCGACGACAACACGCTTGTCTCTCGTTTTTTTTCTTATTGTTTTTTATTATGTGAAAAACAGAATGAAATGAAACATGCATGGCAATGTACATACATATATGTATATGAATATGAAAAACAATAATTACAATAATAACAAAAACAACAGCCGCAACAACAATCTGTAACACAAATAACACCTAACTAACTTGTTTTTTATCTTTCAGTTTTTTCTTCATTGCTCTGGTGTAATAAAAGCATATACATATATGTATATACTACATACATATGCATTTCGTGTATGGCATTGTATGTAAATATAAATTCTATTTACTAAAGAAAACCTTTGTAAAAACCCAAGACATTTGTTCAACATAAATCCTACTCGAGGGGTGCGAATTCGTATAAATTTCTTAAAGTCTTATAGACAGAATACTCGTCTAAAAAATATCTCCTATTTGGAATATTCATGGGTAACGAGCAATACCTAGCTTGTTTTGTTATGCCTCCTATCGTCCTTTTGAGACTTTTTGATGGGAAGATGTTTGTATTTTCAGTTTTGCCGAAATAGTTCAGCTCTAGTATGTCATAACTCTCAAAAAATTGTTTGTAAATTAACTTAGGGGATTTGCCGCGAGAACCAAGATTGAAAAAGATTAACAGTCTGGAATTGGATCGGGTTTATGGATAGCAAGGCAATAAAGACGCCACAATGGGACCGTAATGGCCCATACCTTTTCCAATGATTTTAAATATATATATATACAAGAGGAACTACTCAGTAATGTTGGTGGTTAGTTTCAGGAAAATATGGCATTGCTTACCAAAGGGTTCCAGATCTAGCTTTTCTTAGTCTCCGATTAGTTTTTGGAGTGTTTTCTCGCCAAAAACTATTATTAATAACGTCTTTACAAAAAAAAATTAATAAATTAATTAGAGTTCCGATTATGGGGATATACATTTTGGACTATCGATTTTTTTAAAACTTAATTTAATAAATAATAACTAAAATTATAAAAAAAATATTAATTTAACTTATTTTGAGTTCATTGAAAGTAATAATGTTCAAATATGATTTTTAAGGTTTGCTCTATCAGATGATAAGTTTCTATATTTTAAAGTGGATTTTTAATGTTCTGGTTTTTCATTCCATTTGCTTGGGTCGTATATTTATTATCATAATTTATTTTTTTAGTATTTCAATAACTCATAATTTCCTTGTTTTGTGATAAAACATTGTAAAAACGTGATTAATAATTCAAACTCTCCATAAGAAACTCTCCATTTCTATGTTTGTGTGTGTTTATATATTTCCAAAAAGATAACAACAATTTATCTTATTTTTAAATCATATTTTTGTTTTTCTTTTTTTTTAAATTATGACATTCTAGTAAACGAACGCTTTGTATGTAAATATATGCAAATGTGTTCTCCTACGACATAAACTTTTGTGTGTGTATGTATATATATGTACCTGTAACATTAGACCACTCTGCACATGTATATGTAGAACATATACAATTTATATCGTTATACCACTACCAACCAACACAAACGAGAAGGGATAGCATGAGATTTTCTAAACCTAGGTCGCACACACACATCCACATACACAGATTCAAACTTTCATTAACAATGGGAAACATGTAAGCTCTCTCATCCTCAATTTTCTCCCGACACCAAAACAAAAACTATGTGAGAGCATCACAGTGAGAGAAAGTCATATCTTTTGCTCTTAAATTATGCAAAGAACATAGCATAACCATCGGCTGGTTGTTGGAACATCTCCTGGTAGAGTAGAAATAACGTTCATGTAGTCCCAAATCGAGAAACAGAAAAACAAACAACGACAAAAACAAGAACAAGAACAACCTGAACTATAAATCCAAAGAGGATAATAACTGTGAAAGCTCCTCATAATAATTTATGATCTTTCCAAACTAACAGCTTTTTTGTGTCACAACCCATGACATGGAACGGTGACCAGATGTTGCCCAAATCACTTTCGCTTTCGGTTTGGCCACAACGAAAGTGGATTTGAATGGTTGACTGGAGACCAGTTAAATCGAAAAAAGGCTAGCCTTTGAATTTTTAATCTATTCGGTTCGTAGTAGTTGTGGTTAATTAGCATCAGTGCCCCGAACAAAAAGGTCAAGTAGATGGGTTGTGGGTGTTTTTTTATTCCATAGAGATTTTCTTTTATGTGGAGGGGAGGTGTTTATTTTGGACTTGGGTTTTTATGCTTGTTGCCATAAAACATAAAACGAAAAACCAGCAAATTTGATTTCGACAAGAACATGTGTGCGTATACGTGGTGCGTATGTATACGTCTGTATGTTGAGTATTTGTTTATGTGTTCCCAAAAATGTATCTTTGTACATTGTATTACAACAACTGTGTCTAATAGTTGTGGATACAATTTGGGATACATTTCCAATTTTAAATTTATTCATTGAAAAAAACATGTTATTTTATACTATTGAATACATGTATAGGGATTGATATATGTATATATTTTTTTGTGAAATCATCCGATCATGCCTTTGTCGTAGAATGGCCCAAAACTATTTGTACCAAATACATCAAAATCTTGCTAATCCGGACCGTTGATCCGATTTGTCAAAAATACAGGGTTAACGAGTTTTTTTAAATGATTTAAATGTTTATTATTTTATCACTAAATTAAATGATTAAATGAACTTTATGGTTTTATTAAAAACTAAAAGTATTCATTACAAAAATATGATTTTGAAATATATAGTAGCTATAATTTTTACTACATTTTTTAAGATTTTAATAAAAAAACATAAAAATAATGTATCTTCATAATGTGGATTTTAGAGACAAATATAGTCGGACAATCTGGATTTCGATTCGGATTATAGAGATGTTATTGTATTGTAAAATTTCCTGTACAATTCTAACTATTTTTCTATTTATTCACTAAGAAACAACTGGCTTTCGTAAATAAACATTTAAGGTTTATTGAAGGTAATTACCGCACCTGAAGGGTCTATATTTTGGCTTCCAGATTCTTCGTAGTTAAAACGATTTTTGGCAAGAATTGTCTACATGGTCCCATGTTTTGACAAAATATTTAGGTATTCTGGTTCTTGACTCAAAAGTCCACTTCACCGATATTTTTATATAGATATATGTATTTATATAGCCTTCGTATCCCTATTTCAGATTGGACTAACATATTTTCAGATCAAATGTATTATAGCTATTATATATAACGCCTTTCTAATGCAGCGCTAGAGGGACGTACGCAGGGAGGTTGGTCTTCCTCCGGATTTTTTACAATTATTGTATTTCTGCAGCATAGAAAGGTTCATATCGCATCGGAGGACCAGAACGTTTTGGTACGATGAAAAATGTTCCTAATCGAAATAATCACCCTTTTGATAATTCTGTGACATCCGTCTTTCATATAGTCATC